GCCGCGTTTCACCGCCCCGACCCAGTAAAAGGGGCTCGCCCCCCACCCGCGAGGCGCTCTGGGGAGCGGGCTGGGACGAGGGAGGCGTTCGGCCCCCGGCGCTGACCTCTCCCCCTGCTTGGTTTGCTTACAGCGATCTGTTTGCCTGGGTGCGATGAGCAGCACGGCTTCTGCGACAAACCTGGGGAGTGCAAGTAAGTTTTCCACACCCCCCCCTCCACCCTCCTGTTCCCTTCTCTGCCTCTAACGCTGCTGGTCTGGTGTTGGGGAAGCCATCGGTCACGCGAAGGGTGGGTTTAAACGCCTGCCTTCATCCTAGGCGGTAATTTGAGAAATCCAGGTGATACCAGATCAAAGTATTCATCTACAAGTCAAACATCGGTGCTATTAATATTCACCTAACGAGTTTACGGCGCTGTGTGTAAGGCTTAGCTGTTATGAGAGCAAACAAATTAACTACCTGGAACCGTGGCTCTCCCCAAGGAAGTGGGAGAAATAGCTGGGACCAATGAAAGCTGCGGTCGGACTCGGTGACTTTCTCACATGAGGGATCGCTGAAGGCTTTCAGGACACTTGATCCCTGGCATCAGCGTGTTTGCAGAGGCTGCGATGGGGTTTCCGACTGCGAGCAGCCAAAATCTGATGAGACTTTGTTGTTGTTTTGGGTTTTTTTTCTTCTTTTTCCAGATGCAGAGTGGGTTGGCAGGGGCGATACTGCGACGAGTGCATCCGATACCCGGGCTGCCTTTACGCCTGCGCCCAGCCGTGGCAGTGCAACTGCCAGGAGGGCTGGGGTGGCCTTTTCTGCAACCAAGGTGAGTTCTCCATCCTTGCCTGAGCGTGAGCTTTAAAACGCGGAACGCGAGCGGCGGTTTCCAGCTCACCCGCCCTGTGCTAGCCTGGTGAAGGAGCAAGTATCTTCACAGCTCTCTTTTTAAAAAACAAAAAAATTCTTTTGCAGACCTGAACTACTGCACCCACCACAAGCCCTGCAAGAACGGTGCCACGTGCACCAACACCGGCCAGGGGAGCTACACTTGCTCTTGCCGACCGGGGTACACAGGCTCCAACTGTGAGATTGAAATCAATGAGTGCGACGCCAACCCTTGCAAGAACGGTGGAAGCTGCACTGTAAGTCTGAGTTGCCTGTGCCGTCTGAGACCCCACGGGCAGAGCTAGCGTCACTTTTACAGAACTTGAAAAACACTCTTTGGATTTCTAAGCAACTTCAGATAAATATTTTGAACAGGTCTCTTTCCTTCCCCCTCCAGGATCTCGAGAACAGCTATTCTTGCACCTGCCCCCCGGGCTTCTACGGCAAAAACTGTGAGCTGAGCGCAATGACTTGCGCCGACGGACCATGCTTCAACGGTGGGCGATGCACTGACAACCCTGACGGGGGGTACAGCTGCCGCTGCCCGCTGGGTTACTCCGGCTTCAACTGTGAAAAGAAAATCGATTACTGCAGCTCCAGCCCTTGCGCTAACGGTAAGACCAAACATGCTACGGTAACCTTCTGAAAGGTCCTTCTAGAAGGACACCATCCAGGAGAACACTCCTTCTGGTGTCCTGGAGGATTCTGGTCTGGAGTTCATAACTCCTGGTCTGGAGTTCATAACTTGTGGTCTGGAGTTCAGAACAAGGCCCGCTGATCAATCACGGTCCGCGTCGCGTCAATGGTTGACTCAGCGGAGGAACCGTACTTTAAGAAGTACCGGTGTGGTTTGGGCCGCTGCTGCAGACAGCATTTGCTCAAGGGGTGACTGTGGCCAGGTAACTTGGCCTGAAGCTTCATGCATAATAATGTGGAGGATTATACTTGCAAATATTTTGCAAAGACTCTTTGAGGTCTGTGGATGCAAAATGCCACGCAAGTGCTAAATATTATTTCCTGTAATCTGGTAACAGTAAGCTTCCCGTTTTCAATAAAGCAGTGGAGACTTTCCTTACCACAGTCCTCCTCATTCATTGCCAGTCAAACTCTGCAGCCTGAGACGGTGATCTTCACCTGATCTGGACTACCTTTGTTGTCCAAGCTGAGTAAAATGTCAAAAAGGGAATGGGATGGTGAATAAAAAGCACATCTTACAAAAAAAAAATCTTCCTTAAAATACCCCACACTTTTTGTGGTGGGTCAGACTTGGTTGGCGACCATCACCCCGAGAGCTGCAGGCGGGAGGCTGTCAGGTCTGGCTGCCCACCACTCACTCCTCGCTCCCTTGGATGAAGAAATTTTTGCTGTGAGGGTGGTGAAAGACTGGAAAGGGGTTGCCCAGAGAGGTGGCCGATGCCCCATCCCTGGGAACATTCCAGTCCAGGTTGGACGGGGCTCTGAGCAGCCTGACCCAGGTGAAGATGTCCCAGCTTGGTGGGGTTTGGGGCTAGGTGGCCTCTGAAGCTAGGTGGCCTCTGAAGCTAGGTGGCCTCTGAAGGTTCCTCCCAACCCAAACCATTCTGTAATTCTACGATTCCATGTCTTGCAGGAGCCCAGTGCGTCGACCTGGGGAACTCCTACATATGCCAGTGCCAGGCTGGCTTCACGGGGAGACACTGTGACGATAACGTGGACGACTGCGCCTCCTTTCCCTGCGTCAACGGCG